CCTCTGTGCCGTCTAACATAGTAGCCATGAGCTACATGTGGCTACTTAAGTGTAAACTAATTGAAATCAAATAAAATTTAAAACTCAGTTCTTCAGACACACTGGCCACATTTCAACTGCCAACTAGCACCATGTGGCCAGTGGCTACCATATTGGATGGTACAGGTTGACCATTCATATCATTACAGAAAGTTCTATTGGACAGTGATATTCTAGTTATCCAAGATACAAGTTGAAAGTATCAGGCTATGGACAGATCAGCCAGGGAACTTGAATTGAAGCCTGTTTGCTATCATTACCTTCAACTAATGCACACTGCAGGCATCTATAGTGATTATATCTAAAATACAGACAGACAGACAGGAAAAAGAAGCACACCATGCCTTATGAAAAGTCTATACATTTTTAAGTAATCATGTCATTTTTAGTCTCTCTTTTGGAGGATGTTATTTATTGTAAGACATCAGTTTTATTAAATACACTGTAGTACAAGAGACTTCCCATATCAGGTTGAGAGAAGCTGGTCACATGATTTACAAACAAAACTTTTTTTATTTTTAAACACTGATATTCTGGTGTCACTTTGAAATCAGCCAAGATGCAGTGGGTCTTAGTAAAGCAATGGACCTCAAAACAGATTGCAAAACAGGAACCAGTAAGTATCAGTACAGAGACATCACATTAAGAAAAAGTAAAGCAAATAAAGAGTTCCAAATACCAGGTCACAATTTAAGGGGCAATATATCTTCAGAGAGATATTAAAATGTGTGTGTGTACGTGTGTGTGTGTGTGTGTGTGTGTGTGTGTGTATGGCCCAGATATATACAAACATCTCTCTGTGTACAGAAGCAAATGCAGAGAGTGTCCACATCTCTTGGCAGATTTGTAAGTGACAGGTAATGGTCAATGGCAGGGAGCAAAAGTTTACAATAATTTGGTCATTTGTCAAGAGATGGCATATTTAAATCCACATTTGATTCAAAGACCTTGCATTTAAAACATTTCCAGCAGTTTTATACATTGTGAAAGCAATAGTAAGATATACAAGCTGCAAGATGTAGGCCTTTACATTTCATTTTATGTTCTCCATTTTTTTATATTCCAGTCCAAACACATGAGTATTAGCAATTTTTATGATGCTTGCTCCGGTATGTTCGACATTCAGCCATCCTTCACTCAGGATCATTTTTATGAATGCACAGACCAAAGAAATAAAACAAACACAGACCTGGCCTAGAATGCATAGACTAAAAAAATGACATCCCATGTTTTCCCATTTCATCTCCTGAGACGTATGGTAAGATGGCAAAATAGTTGCTTGGTTGCTATTGTGAAATTCACAGTGTTTTGCCTGCAACACATATACACATATATATATTTTTTTGCTTTGCTTTGTGTTTGTGATAAATGAAGCAAATAAATAAATAAATAAATAAATAAATAAATAAATAAATGTAAAAGGAAGAGAAAGGGAAAAATTCAAAACCTAAAGATATCGAATAACCTTTGACTTGAGAAGTAGTGATTCATTCCAGCTTTAACAACAAGGAAATACTCCTTGTGTGCTGTCATATTGAACTACAAATTCTGCCCACCTCTAATTCTTCAGGATAACATCTGCTATCACAACCTTGGAGTCTCTGCATTCCACAATGATGCATCATAAAAAATTGCTTTAACTGCTCATTTAGCCATCTGAGGAGTTGGATCACCAGCCATCCCTCATGGAATTTTTTGTAACAGCGACAGAGGGCCCAATCAAAGCTCAACATTGGGAATAAAAGTCCTCAGTTGGAAAGATAGATAGAGATAGAGATAGAGATAGAGATAGAGATAGAGATAGAGATAGAGATAGAGATAGAGATAGAAAATTGAGGGTGCATATATGCAGTCATTTATCTTACTAGAGATAGAATTTAATGCTGTTGGCATTATAGAGAGTCCAGTTTGCAGAAGGAAAGGGAAAACAGATAAGCCCATTTCTGCCCAGGGGCTCCTTTTGTCATGGCTCTTTGCAAAGGACAGCCTTGCACACTGTTGTTTGCATTCCCACTCGGATGTGGGAATTCCCCAGAGTGTCTGACCTCACTGTGGGGTCTCAGACTTCTCTTCATTGGCCTTTGAGACACTGGGTTCCCAACGCTCCTGCTCTCTTCTGGAATGCTGGAACTCTGAACACAGGTATAAAGGGGTCATAGTGGGACAAGATGACATGATACAAATGTGCAAAAAAGATAAAAAGATACCCATGTTTCCTTTCCTGGACCTTTACATAAGGAGATCTAATTCAATTCACATTTTCCTTTGCAAGGAGCCAGAGAAAGGACTCAGTGTGGTGGGATGGCTTTGAGTCAGTTGTTTTGGGAAGCACATTATCTTAACTAGGCCTTCCACCCATATAGTACTGCACAGGATTGAGAAGAGCAGTGTAGTCCTATCCACATGGAGAATGGAAGCATTAATGGCAAATGATGTTAAAAGTTTTGGTTATTTAGCAGATTTTAAGCAAATTACTCATACTGCACCCTACATATTTCTAATGCTGTGTGCCTATAAATTTATACATAAGCACGCAAACACACTATATATGTGTGTTTGTCTATGTATAAATCAAGTATTTATAACATATAAATACATGAACATACCACAGGTAATGCTGATGTAAACACATATGTAAAATATGAACTCTGATATAATCCTTTATAGCATAGTTCAAAATATTGTCTAAATAAGCCTGATTATGACATTGGTTCAGTGTATAAGTATTTAGCTGAAGCTATGAGCATGATTATATCTCAGCTGCCTGTCATCTCACGTGTTTCATTTTGTTCTTCTAACTTCATATCCTGCTACATGAACTTATTAGTGTTTTTCCTTCCTGGATTGGAGTGTCTAGTGGACTGAATCATGAACTTCAGAGTCAGAACATTTAGGTTTGGTCCCAGTGGTGCCAGAAGCTAGCCTGGAGATTTCTAGCATGCCATTTAAACTTCCTCAAGTCTCAATTTCCTCAACTATTAAAAAAATGAGAATAATTTGCTAATATCTGTGAAAATTGTTTGGGAAACTAGGAAACAATTTATTAATGAAAATGATTGCCAGAGTTTGGGTGAGGGAATCAAGTTTGTCACCACTATTGTTGCAGTTTTCACTGAATCTGATGGCAGGCCATATTCTGTGATCATCACATTTTAGAGTGAGGTTGCTCCTGTTCTAAAAACAAGAACAGCATAAGAAGAGGAGATTGTGGAGGACCAGTGTGGGACATTTGAAGATACTCTGTGGTTCATTCAACTACTTTAAAAGCGATCTGGTATTCATTCAATGCAAGACATCGCTGAAATCAGTACATACTCTTGAGACAACAGAGGAAAAAAGAATAATTGGCAATATAAATAACTAGAATGCTTTGCACTTGCATAGGACCTTTCATTCCAAGACCTTGAGGGACTTGTCAAAAGGTAAGGAGAGTTTTGTTTTGTTTGTTTTTATTTTTGTTTTCTTGTTTTGTTTTTTTTGTTTTGCTTTGTTTTTGTTTTTATTTTTTATTTTTTTTCTTTTTGCTTTTTTTCTCCAGAAGAAAACAATACTGGAATGGAATGGAATACTCTCGCCTTCTCATTTGCCTTAAACAATCTTTACTCTAAAACTGCACAGCCCTCCTCAGATGTGATCCTTTAGAGCACTGCCTCTTTCCTCTCTGTTAAAGTAAAACAAAGAAGTTGCAGCGTCTTCCCCTAGAGCAGCTGGCCGAATGGCAAACCTTGTATGTTTTCAGGTCATTGCTGATGGAATCTAGAAAAATTTTGTACAAATCTGCCCCTTTTCGCTGCTTCACAGAGTGCCACAGTGTTTTAACAGTACCATGGGTCCTTAATAGGATATATACGTGCAGGTATATATCATGGAGATATGGCTTTCATTATATTATTATATGTATTTTGGAGGGTTTTCTTCACTGACAAAGAGAACAAACGACTCAACTTCCATGTCTCATAGGCCAGCGCAGAACTTGAAGGGACTGTAAGATCTGTCTTGTCTGACCCCCTTCACTTGACTGCAGGTGCTAATGGATTTCCTCTTGTTCTCTGAATCGATATTTTTGTTTTGTTTTTTTATTTTTTTGAGAACTGGCTTTCAAACCCTATAATGGAAAATAAGGTATTCCAGTGATTAAGGGCACAAGCAAAACCTAAACAGAGCAATTGCACCTTCAGAAACAAATATGAAATAAAATGACTTAGGATGAATTAAAATCACTCCTTTTCAGTCTGGCTTGTGTTATAAAGATATCAAGTTAGCAAAATTCCCCTCACAGAGGGTAGCAAGTTTTCTTGAGGAACAGAAGTATATTTCTTCCTTGGTGTAACTGATCATCCGAATAACTGTAAATTTTTATTTAAATTTACAACCTTATTTCACAAAACCTGTGACTGTGCCCAGAAGCACACCTCCAAAGCTTGGTCTGGGCATAGCTTCTCATTGGCATGCTGTGCCTAATTTTTTACTTTACTTCTTTTAATGGAGTGAAGAAAACAAAACGGCACACTGACTATGGAGCACACTTGGAATGAAACCACTCTCCCAACCAGAGCCCAGAGCAAGGACTTGGCCTGTGTACACTGAACATCAATGCATAAGACATCCCCAGAGATGAGGTTTCCTTTCTCTCAGGGACTGACTCTGCCTTTCCCACAGTCCCACAGTCCCACAGTCCCACATTCTCACTGTGGGTTCGACGTGCATGAGGACATCCAGGCTTCAGGGTCCATATTTGTTAAAACCCATCACCACCCTACAGCCCAGAGACATTTATACTAGGCTAATGAACTCCATCAGCTTCCCCTAATTATATAAGTTCTACCTTTTATAAATAAATCTGTTCTACATATCAGGGGCACAATTTCTGGAGCAGTAGTTTCTGCACACAAGGTATTAATTGACGAAGACCATGCACAATTTTGCTTGCACAGTTAAAAGGACAGGTGGGTGGTGGTAGGGGTTGGAGGGAAGTGCTATCTGAAAAGTTCAATATAAGAGAAGCTTGTCTCTGAATGTATAGCTTGTCCTATCTTTTCCAAGTGCTTGGCTTTCCTACCCAACCCTGAAATGATCTCTAGACAAGAATCCACCTATTTTTAAGAGAACTTGACAAAGGATCATTGGATAACACTTGGACAACAACCCAGTGCTATGACCATGATCTACAAAGACAAGACTGTCTGAGCATGTGACGTACCATCTTGTGTCTCGCAGAAGCCATCTTTTCTCTCTACTATACTCTAGAGTTTCTGATGATGGGAAATGAATAGTCGATGCCACAGAGTTCAACAGTCTTTTTACTCCTCAGAACGATCCTCAAGGGAAGGTGCCAAATACATTCCTCCCAGCTAACAGTTGCTGGGTTTTTCCTAAGCAGGGACTGATGCCAGCTGATCCCAATGGTTGTCTTTGTTCCTCTCATATTGCGGTTTATAATAAATCTTCTTTCTCTCTGGTTTTAATCTCCCATAATTAAAGGGCTTCCCAGATTGAACACAAGTTTTCCTTTTTCATACACAGGCTTAAGCCATCCAAAAACAATAAGAACAATAATAATAATAAATAAATAGAAGCGAATCCATAGAAACTCTCGATGTCTGTACAGCAGAAGTGACAGAGTTTAAGTCAAATATTGGTTTTCCCTTTTTTTCATCCACATCAAAGGCAGGAATACAACAAGGCATTGTTAGTTGTGGTGGGCAAACTGGAGTGTCTGCTGATATAACAAATTAGGTTTGTTAAGGCCTTTGTCTATGCAGAGTTAAGAGTAATGCAGAAGCCAGATTGATTAAAAAGAAAGGGTAAGAACTGTGAAGCAGGGAAGACAAAAAAAGAGAAACAAACAAAAAGAGAACAAAAACTAGAGAACAAACCCAGGGAGATGGAAAGAGAGAAAGAGATAATGCCAAAAAGGAGTCCATACTGTGTCTACGGATGGAGAAGTACACATTGCTTCCCTCTGAAAGCTTCTTGGTGTCTTTGTTGTTAATACTGTCAGAGTAGAGAACAGCAGATTGATGGCATCCAGCAGCGGTTAAAAGACATTCACTCTCTCGGCCCATCTGAGGAGGTGCTTTGGGAAGGATTGGTCTGCGGGAAAGGGCCCTAGCCTAGAATATCCAGGTAGACTGGAGATGCCTTGGCCAAGTTCTGAAGGAGGGTATAGATGCCCTTGATGTTCTTCCTCATGTGGGGCTCTCGCTGCCAACACCCCAGCATCAACTCGTAGACTTCCTGGGGGCATGTTCGAGGTCGCTGCAAGACTCGGCCCTGAGTGATGCATTCTATCACCTGGATGGAGATCAAAGATGGGATCAGACAAGAGGAAAAACAATACAGATAAAATAAATGTCAGCGCAAAGAGAGGGTTGCTTTAAAGAAACCCACTCAGTGTTTATTTTCTTCAGAAAGAAGAGAGCAATTATTATAGGTTTGTATATTTTGTTTAACTGTACTATACCCATTTTTCAAGCACACTGATTTCACCTAACTAGTGGAGAAAATTTTCCTACATGAGTGATCCCAAACCTCACCCTAGAATTCCAGTGTGCTTTAGTTTTACCAGCCTGAGATGGTAAAACTAGGTCACCTCTGTGTCAGGGTGTTGACTGATGAGGGACTCCCCAGAGTATAGAACTGAGTGTTCATTTTGGGTAGTGAATTTGGGTAAAAGACAGACTTGGGCCTGAAGAAGATGTGAGGTGTTTGACCACAAACCTACCCCTCAAATATAGATATATTTGCAAAAGGATTAGAATAGGAAAACAAAATGAGTTTTTCACTAGAAGTACATGGTGTAGTGAAATGTGCAAAAAGGAAAGAAACTTGAGACCTTACTGGAATAATACACAAAAGCTAGCTGTGCTCTGAGGGTGCTAGAATGTCACATACGTTATTAATTTGCTAGATGAGCACCACACAGGGATTCCTCAGTCCCATCACCAGAGGATGCTAAGCATGTCAGCAAACACTGCTTTTACTAGCTCTTAAATTTTGAGAGGGACTCTGCTTTGGCCATGGCATTTAGGCATATAGCAGGCCATTTGGGAAGTGCTGTACCCAAAAATCCACATTAGGTCATGTCCTAACTTCCGGTCGAGGGGCACCTCTTGGTGTCAGCCCTTTAGGAGGGTCTCACCCAGCCCACTGCGCACCTCATTGTTAGACAGCTGGTACCAGGGCTGTTTGCCATATGTGAAGATTTCCCACAACACGACCCCCAGGCTCCAGACATCACTTTCTGTGGTGAACTTCCTGTACATGATGCTTTCCGGAGGCATCCAGCGAATGGGCAACATTGTATGGCCACCAACCTGGCAGAAAAGGGGTGAAAAAAGAGGCATTAGTCACCCCCAAACTAAGTTCCCACCATAAGTGGGAAAGGTGTAGAAGGGAGATGTGGGGGACACTTTCTTCCATTCCTTTATTTGAATTTATTAATTTTAATAGTTTATAAACACATAAAAATACAATTTCTTTATAATCTCAAGAACCAGAGACAGAAGGCAAAGAATGGTCAACAAATCTTTTTCATATTTCCAATTCTCTCTTGAAACTAGATAGGAGCAGAGCTGATGATTAGGTGGATGTTCATTTGGGTAGAACACATGCACACATATTCTGGTATGAGGACGACTCAGCCTTCTGATTAGCAAGATGACTGACTAGGATAACAAGTAGGGGTCTCTTCATTCCAAAAGGGTCCACCAAGTGACTCTACTTCCTTAGCGAGGCCAATTTTCTTCCAGTTTAAGGTGTTAGGACAGGTGCTTCTTCAAACACCTTCCCCACAACCCAGAGATGAGTAAGGCAGAAATTATTCCCATATACAGATGAGGCAACCGGGGTTCAGACTACTGTCTACACAAAGAAGTCAGGTTTTTAGACTCCAAGCTCAGAACTTTTCTCTATGACAGAGCACTGCAGCTGAGCATATTTACAAAAATAAACATGTAACTATGATTCTGAAAAGCCCATTTTAGTTAAAACATGGAGGCTGAGGCATTAGATGTCAAGAGCATTAGTATAGGCAAAGAGAGCTTTGTTTGACAAAGAAGACTTGTCCATGATTTCCTACTTCCTGGAGAAAGTGAAGCATTCCCATTTCAGGTTTGGAGCCCACTGGGGCTGCCTGATTTTACAACCTAGAATTCCCTTCCGTTCTTCTCTGTACAGTGACTCCAAATCTGACAGATTTCTGCACAGTAGCCCTGATGGGTAGTAGGTCCCATTTTTCATGCTGGGGAACCTCAGCACAACCAGCTCAAATGCCGTGCCAGACACTGGGCAGAAGGGGAGCTTAGAGTCACCAGGAGTTCAACCTCATGGACAACTTCCTGGGTTCTGAGACTAATGCCACAGTTACAAGTCTCAATATCCATTTCTGACTCATTAAAAGAAGGAAGTGGACTAACAGTGCCTGAAAAATGCTGCTTAACTCAGAACCCAAGGAGCTGAGAGGGTCAGAGATGTCTAATATGCTTGGTGGTTTCAAATAACGCCCTTAGCCTCAAAAACCAAAACAACAACAAACCCACAAATGTGCAGGAGGATGGTGCTTTTTGCTGTTTTCTGTTCTTCTCTGTACAGTGACTCCAAATCTAACAAGTAGGAATACAACTTGCTGGCTCAGGTGCACCCATCTTTATTGTTTAGCTTTGAAGACACCAAAAGCTTCTACATTAACTAGAGGCTGGTTGTCTTTCACCACCTTTTGATTTTCTCACTTGCTTCTCACCCCTGCAGTGACAGGTAGTCACTGTTCAATGAGCACAGACTCCCCTCATGAAGCTGCATGGACAAGACTGAAGGTAATGGCAATACTCAACCATCAGGGCTGATATCTGAAACACAACCTGTGTGACATCAGCACTGGCTGACCAGAAAGGATGATGGTGGTAAACTAATTTGAAGGTGTGTTTGTCGGGGAGAGGGAGAGAGATAGAGAACCATTTACAAATATCTCCTAGAAGCAGCCAGCTAAAAAACACACTCTGGGATGCATTAATCCAGCAAGATACCAGGCTTCCCATATTCCTCGTGGATTCCCAGCTGCAGTGCAGTAGACAACACTTAATTCGTGAAATGAAATGCTGGGTTTCGGGGCACACCCTAGTGTACCGTTTCCTAGTGGGGTAAACTTGACTGGTTGCCAAACCTCTCTGTGCCTTCCTCTCTTCAAATATTAAATGTGGGTAACAGTGAATACCTTCCAGGGTTATTGTGAGGTTAATACCTAAGCAGACAATATAAATTTCAATGCACTAAATACTTTGAATGTGTTGCTTCCTTCTCTGTCATTTGACTGTCTGAGTTCCTCAACATGGGGAACAGCCATTCCAGAGACTCAAAGGAGAGTCAACACATACATCTCTCCCGCACTCCTCACCGCAATGACAAGTGCTCTGTGACCCTGTGACCACAGCACCTACTCTGCCAGGTTTTCTGTCCTGTACTGCTAATGGCCAAAGAAAAAGCTCCCGTTTCCTTTAAAGGAGAAAAAATAAGGTTCAAATTTTGATTTACATGTTTTCCCATCTGATCATTTATTTTATGCTTGGACAGATTTTTCACTTTAATTCTTTCAAGAATCCCTTCTGGGATTTCACACATGCTGTTATAAATAATGCTCTCCTTGTTCTGATGTCAAACGGGTGAGTGTGGGAGAAGCTAATAAAAGTTCAGACAGGGTTCACAAGTTTTCTAAGCCCGTTTAGAACATTTCTGAACATTTCTTTCACAGCCTTTTCTCAGGATTTTGGAGCATGTCACAAAAGTAGACAAAAAAAATGTCACTGTTGTTACAAATTACTGTCACATTTCAGTCACAATCACTGGATGGTTTTTGGAGCCTCACAAAACCAGTGTGTAGCAACAAACACAATGAGACATTTGTTTCGCATTGTGCTACTTGGCAACTTGCCCTCACACCCTTGCTCAAATATTTGTGACATGGAATGTAATCCCAAGTATGACACTGGGAGTCAGAACTGCTGCCTCGGCTGCTGGCTATGCTGTGGTGCCTGAGGAGACTCTCCTGCCGTCCACGTGGGTCAGGCCACATGCCTTTCACTAAATTCACCAGATTAAACTGATCAAGATGGGAAATCCAGTTAGCTGGGAGTTCACTTAGATTTGCAATTTTTATTTTCCTCAACCCTAGACACAGGGGTTCTAGCCCTATAATTAGGTACCACCCTGTTGCCACCACAGTCATCCATCAATTCTTAGTACCTCACATTTACAAAGAATTTGCACTGAGTTATCTCACTTAAACCCAATAGTTACCTTCTTGGGTAGACATTGGCTTGCCTTCATATTACAAACAATGCCCCCAAAGTTCAAAGAGTTTAGTAGCTTACCTAGAGCCACACACGTAGTGCCCTCCCCCTGAACATCTTGCACTCATTCTGATTGGTCACTCTTTGTTTCCAGCCTCTCCAGTCTCCAACACATGCCCTGTGTTTTCAGCCAGCAAGCTTAGTTGTGGCTCATCACCCAGGCCAAACCTACTCAAGCCTGTTGGAAAATTTGATCTCCTTTCTACTTAGTAAAGGCAAGCTCATATTCCACCATTTCAAGGCACTCTCTGTCCCTGCTACAGCTCAGTGCCTTTTCTAAGTACTAGGAAGCCCTGTGCTCACTTGGTCCAGCTCTGGCAACAGTGTAGGCTAGACACTCCCTTTTTTTGCTACTTGACACATGCTTCAAGAAAGGTGAATGCTAGTCAGTTATGTCTGGCAGGGCACGAGGGAGTTGGGTGGTAAGCATATGATGTCTTCAAGTGGGTTTCTTATGAGTACTGATATTGGGAAGGAAATCTTATAGTGTTCTTTCAAAGAGATCAGTGTTTGCTGCCTTCCTATCCATCCTCCAATGACTTCTCTACACTCTTGATACAACCAAGTCTTAGATTAAATGAATGAAAACTGGCTCACTATTTGACACAACAAATAAGAACGATTCAATGAAAGTTGTAACCTCTTAATAAAATGCAATCCAAAATACTGGGGTTTGTAGAGAGTATAAATGCTAAATTGTATGAGAGACCACACTCCTCAGTTTGCCATCTGTAGAGTAGATGGAGTGCGGGGAGATGGGGAGCATGTCTATGGTGCAGACCTGGAACTATTTACTCTGGGAATAAAGTCTAAGAAGATGTCATAATGCATAACACGAAGGGAGTGTTGTTCTACAGATGGTAACTAGTGTGTCATATCTTAGGAGGCTGGAGGACAAGGACAACGGCTTAAGAAGAAAGTTAAACCATGAAAAGAAAAGGACTGAATGACCATCACGGCTGCTAATCATTGCAACATGGTGAAATCAGCAAAGCTAACCAGAACAATGTCTGAGGCCCATGGCCAAACAGAAATTGTGGAATGGCTAAAATAAATCAAATTACAGAAAATAATGAGTTCTGTTTTTAAAACATATGAAGAAAATAACTTTTTCATTTAGCTCTTCATGCGATTTCCATGACACCTCACAATTTTGATGGTGATATGTATCAGATGATCTGGTTAAATGCAAAAATAACAACTATGTACTACTTAAAATACCTGGTTCTGGGCATCCTTTAAATCTACCTAGTTGAAAGGTATTTAACACAATAAATCCTGGGCAGAATACTAAAAGGTCCTTGGTAAAGTGTCTTGTGCTAGAAATGATTTTATTATTTTTAAATCAAATTAGACACATCTAATCACTAGAACTGCAACATTTATTTCTTATCCAAGAAATACTCTTTGAGTGCATACTTTTTGGTCATTAGGTTGTAAATTGTGAAAATGTCCTTGTCATTTAACAACCAATATGATTTATTTTTCTACATAAGAAAACTAGGACTAGAGGGAAATCAAGGAACTTGCTGAGGAAGTGTAGCTATGAATTGATGACCAGCAGTATTGAAGACACCTTGCCATCCCACCATTATTTATACTGATAACCTAGTTCTTTCTCATTTTTTACAAATATACAAAACATTGTTTTCTCTGGTACAAGTTAACGATGAATACACAACTCATTTTTCAGGTATACTGGGAGATGACAGAGGAAGTGACAAGCTTAACTCTCTTTTTTCTGTCGGGCTTCACAAAAAAATGCATTTGCCATCCTCCTTACCTCTTCATCTTCTCTTCTGCTGCTGCATCCTTTCTTCTCAGTGTTGCCCCTTCCCAGTCTATTCCTATTTCCAATTCTTTGAATATCCTCTCAAGTCTCCCTTGTCCAGCCCCATTTCGAATACCAGTGTTGCGTATGGTCTTGCCTGATTCTTTTCTCTTTTTTTTTTCACCTCCTATCATGTTTTTTT